GAAGTCGAGGCCCCATTGTATTTTATTTAAACTTCCAATAATTATACCACTGCCTCTCAAAGCATTTAAATTAGTTTTAAAATTCAGATATTACTGAAAATAAACAAATTTCTTTTCTGCAATATTCATGAAGTGGTTGTGTTGCTGTTAAGTGCATTGTGGTCTAGTTTTAATACGTGCATCTGGGTGTGACCAGGGATACAAGATCAATTCCATCAGTTGACTCCAAAACATTCTCATTCATCAAGGTTTACCGTCACAGATCTAAAATACTTTGTTTAATATTTTTAGTAGAGTGTACTTGGCAGAAACCTGCATCTAGTACACATACAATAATGGTGGAAATGTAACGCATGTCTTACCAGCCTTATATCAAGGAAAACTACGGTAATACTTTAAGTTTCACGAGCATTCATACATGATAAATAATGTACAGTACTGAAACTTCATAACATATTTTAATTAAAGAACAAGAAATCCTAAACTCATTCTTTGTAATTTGAAAAAATATAAACGTATTAGATATGAAATATTAATGTGGCACTTCATTACGAATCTGTTTCTCATTAAAATACTTTATCGAAATAATATGCTGTACTTACGAAGATCTTATTAATGCATTTCAGTTGTCTATAAGTTAATAATTAAGTGACTAGATATTACAGTAATTTATAAAATACAGTAATGAAAAAAATATAATTGGTAATCTCTTTTAGCAACTGGAAACATGTCATGCATGTGTACATACACAAGGGACTGTGGAAGCCAGGCCAAGTGACCACATGTGCGGCTGTGGAAACTAGGCCTTGTGGAACTGTTTGCCAGGCCAAATGATTACGAAGAAAAATACCAAGTTCAATCTGCCAGAAATCTGAGATATGCAAAATGGTCTTGTGAAAGATAAAGACAAGGCATCTACTGCAGCACTCTCCAAAATGTTGCTGGCATGTGAACTATCACAAAGGGAGCTCAAATGAAATACTTAAAATTCACATCAAACTTAGCCCTTAGACTACACATATTACCACAAATTTAGGGGGCATAACATCGAAAAATATTTGAATTATGTAAAAATAACTTAAATATGTTAAACGAATCTCCAACTTATTTACTTCAGTGTCGTGAAACTCTCATAAAAATATTTTCAGAAATTGATTTTAGATGAATTTTTGAAAAATAACATTTTATTGATAAGAAGAACAGCTCCTAATAACTGTAACTGAAGGATTATGGAGTAATAAAGAAATGCTGGCACCTGTCTTATGCTCAAAGAAGAATAGTAGTAAGAAGTGTCCACAAAGTGGATATGCAGTTGGTGCCTTTATATCATTGCCAAGTAATACATAATAACACAAAACATAAGGAATAACTGTTAATATGATCTATTTTGTTATATATCATATAAATACATTGTCCAATATATCATATAAATACATTGTCCAATGTTAATATATGTTACTTTCATCAATGGCCCAAAAATATTTTTCTCTCCTTTGTTTATTATCTGATTTTGTTTTAACCTTTACATCCTGGAGAATGCATATGTTTTCATAACTATGTGAAGATAGAATGAAATTGGTCAAAAAATAAGTCAGTCACAACTAGCAAAACTTGAGAATTTTTCATTTGTTTTGGCCGATTTTTTCTCTGATTTCAAACTCTATTTTCTTTGTCTCTTTAGGTTGTTTTGATGCTTAGGGACCATATTAGGGCTTTTTCATTTATATAAAAAACACCCTAAATATACTGTATCCCCTAAATCATTATATTTATTATAATTATCCCTATATTTTGTGTTTTTTTGGGGTAATTTTTTCTTGACTTCATTTCAACATACATTGACCTACAACTTTCACATATTCAAGTACGAATGCCAAACAATATTTATTAAAGCAAACTATTAAATTAACGAATTAAAACAACCTTTATTCATTCAACTTCAACTTCAATTATCTCTGAAACCAGTTTCAACTTTGAGTGGCTTCTAAAATTCCAGTTATTAACCGATTCTCACGATTTTGACATTGTGTGCTCTGCTGTCTGTTTTACAATCCCATCAGAATGGATTTTTCATAAACTTTATGCATTTGGAGTTACCTGTATAATTTTTTTTTTTCTAAATTTGCCACATATTTCATATGTCCTATTGACGACTTTTTTTTTTACAGTAAACTATACTAAAAACCTATATTCTAATTTAATGAAAATAAAGATCATATGTCATTCTGAGAGAATAATAACATTAAATGAGCCATTAATGATAGTTCATATTTTTTATTCTGAATTGAAAATCTGAAGTTTTCAATATTTAATTTTAAAATTAATTTTGATTCTCTGGTTTTTTCAAGTAATGCTGTGGTCATTTAGACCAAGTTAGCATTTGCCTAGTTGATTATGATTATGAAAAAAATTGGAAAGTGTTTGTGCAAGCTTTAAAAACTTAAATTAAATTATTTTTTGTCAAATCATATATGTATGTTTTGCGCGGTCTAAGGGTTAAACCCACTGCTAAAATTGATTTCCAAAGACATATACTCAATATCATAAGCAAAATAAATAAGGAAAAGATCCTAACATGAATACATTTTGAGGTCTGAACCATGACTCCTATTTTGTATGAAACCATCACATATGTAGTGTAGGTAAACCCTATCATGAAGAATTGCAGACATACTTCTTTACGAAGAGAGGGTTCACATGAATGGTTTCAAGAGACGAATCTCACATGAAGAGTTTGTTTACCTTTAATTGCTCAAGAGAAAATCTGCAGACCTAAATAATATGTACCGGTAATCTCTAGTCTGCAGTACAGTACTTTTTCTTATAGAAGATAATAAAAGAACATGTAGATTCTCATTGATAAAGCACCAAGCTATAGCCAACTAAAGTGTAATTGTTCCATGCACGTGCAAGCATGTGTGCATGTATAATTACCTAAATATAATTATCTAAGTGTACTTACAGGATGAGAGCTACGCTTGTGGTGTCCCGTCTTCCCAGTACTCTTTATCATATAACGCTTTGAAATTACCAACGGTTTTGGCCTCCACCATCTTCTCACCTAACTTGTTCCAACCGTCTGCTTCAGCAAAATGCTGAAGCAGTACAATGGAATCAAATCTTCACCCCTGAAACTCCTCTGGCCAGCCTGTCCTCCAAACAAAGATGCAAAAGTGATTCCATGCACCAGCCAAACCCCGTTTTTAAATGAAAAACAGTTTACACACAACTGATTTCGTTCGAACACTTCTGGAACAAGTGCTTCATGACGAATTTTGTTCGAGCCACAACGCTATAAATGCTTCACCCACGTACTACTTATACAAATAATCGCCAACAGAACCTAAACACCTAACCTAACCTAACCTATGCCTACATATGCATAATATGCTAATATATTAGCATATTAATTTATATTTGAGAAAAGTCCTGTTTTAAATGAACAGCATGTTAAAATTTATGTATGCATCTGTGGAGTCGACTGCTGAACATAATGGACTCGAGACGAGGACGGGTTGCCTCTGGCACACATATCGTAGAACGGATGAAGGTTCAACCCCATTGTACAGCATTATTTTCTCAGAGTTATCACGTTCTTGATATTTCATTTTTTTTTTTTTTACATAGGCTCAAATATTTTTAGCATGTAAAATTAAAGAGTAAATTATTATAACGTTATACAGTACAAGAAAATTTGATGGGATGCTTAACACTTTGGCCCAGTAATGACGCAGCATTGCATGACTTTTTTACTTGGGGAAAGTCCGGTAATGACGCAGCATTGTGTGCTTTCCAGGGGGGCAAATTGGCGACTGTTTCGGGAAGGGCGCGCCACGGTTTTGGACATTATATACATACACACCTGTAGGGAATTTCATTGCGAATACTATGATACCAAAATGAAAGACCTAGGACCAGAATTGAGGTAACAAAGTTGAAAAGAGTATACCCATTTTACTGCTCTTTATTAGCGCTCACTGCGGTAATGCACCGTCACTTTCTCTGTTTGCTGTGGGTGGGACGCCTGGCTTTTGGACTTTATATTTGCATATACTCTTGTAGGGAATTCTATTGCAAACACAAAGACACAAAAATGAAAGATCTAGGACGAGAATTTAAATGTCCAAAGTGAAGAGTGTACACATTTTATTGCTCTTTCGCACTCCCGGGTAACACGCTCTCACTTTCTCGCCGGGCTTTTGGGCTTTATATGCATATATTCCTGTTGGGAATTCTATTCCAAACACAATGATACCAAAATGAAAGACCTAGGACAAGAATTGAGGTGACCAAAGTGAAGGGAGTGTAAACATTTTATCGCTCTTGAGCCACGCCCCCGGGTAACACGCTCTCATTTTCTCTATTTGTTGTGAATGGTACGCTGACCGTTTGGACTTTATATGCCTTTAGTCCTATAGAGAATTCTATTGCAAACACATTGATACCAAAATGAAAGACCTTGGACGAGAATTGAGGTGACCAAAGTGAAAGGAGTGTACACATTTTATTGATCCTGCGCGCTCCCGGGTAACATGCTCTCACTTTCTCTGTTTGTTGTGGATACCTGACAGCTGGGTGGACAGCGCTTCGGATTCGTAGTCTTGAGGTTCCAGGTTTGATCCCCGATGGAGGCGGAGACAAATGGGCAAAATGTTTCTTTCACCCTGACGTCCCTGTTACCTAGCAGTAAATAGGTACCTGGGAGTTAGACAGCTGCTACGGGCTGCTTCCTGGGGGGTGTCTAACAAAAAGGAGGCCTGGTCGAGGACCGGGCCGTGGGGATGCTAAGCCCCAAAATCATCTCTAAGATAACCTCAAGATAACCATCATTAAATTCATTTATCTTTACATGATTGCAGTTATACAGTTTTAATTTTAAACTGCATACTAAAAAAGAGTATAAAAATAATATTGAATAATAAGACTAAAAAAAAAATTAATATTACTAATAATAATAATAACGAACACATTGCAAATGTGACCAAGACAAAAATAAAATATATTTTTACAGCAAAGTGTACTTTTACTTAAATAATTATTATTACAACCAGAGTTTCATCCATAACATAATACTGAATAAAAAGAATGCATAAAATTTGAAGGCAGGATAAGTCTTTCACTCACTTTAACCCAATTAAATTATGTTCTGGAGTGAACTGGCAAGACACGTGTGCGTTTTTCAGTGCTAATGAATTGGATTATTAAATAAAATGCACCGGTAGTCATACCAGTTGATTGAGAGTTGAGAGGCAGGACCAAAGAGCCAGAGCTCATCCCCCCCACAAGCACCATTAGGCAAGTACAACTAGACGAGTACAGTGCAAATTGTGTATAAATATTAAGTGTTATATTGCTTATTTGTAACAGAAAAAGTACTAGCTGGTGACCTAATAATAAATATACTGTTTACAGTGAAATCACAATAGTGTAATATCCGAGAAGATCATGCTAGTGTGATTACATTGCGTATTTGATGGGATTAAGTGGTGGAGAGTTTCATTACCTACAGTGTGTATACAGACAACATGTAAAAAATGGATTCAATACCAGCTGGGTGCTTTCAAACATCTTGTAAGTTCGGGTGGACTTGAAGTTGTGTTGCTATTAGCACATCATGGTCCAATAGGTAATGTGTGCATCTGCGGTGACCTAGGATGTGAGTTGGATTCAACTTCTCTGCTCCAAAGATTCTCATACACTGTTCATTTAAACTGTTTTAGATGTATACTTAATTTACCACTTATCTTAATATTACTATATATTTTATATATATTAACTTTGAACCAAGTATACAATGTTAAATAAACAAATAAATTGAATAAAGGATAATATTTACATTGATTAACTAAAGACTTTTGTAATTTAGAAAGCATATAATAATTACACATTATGTTTCATCCCAATAATAGTCATCCTCCCTTCCCCTGTCATTCCTTCTCCTTTTCCTCCTTGATCGACTGTTCCACAGGAGGTGGCGGGTGTCATAAGCTACATCCACTGTGTCAAGTGGCTTTATCTCTTTATTCAGATCAACTTCTGGAAGATCAACAAAGTAATTAGTGTCAGCCTGACGTTTTCGTCTTTCCTCATCGTGATTTGTTTTCTTCCCATTTTCAGATGGCAAAATATTTTCCTTATTATTAACCGATAGTAATCCATGATTTTCCATTTTTGGTATAGTATCTGGCATTGCACTTGGTCTTCCTATGTTTGCTTGCTTATTGTTACCTTTAGGAATAGGTGCTTTCTTGATATCCACTGCTTGAGGAATATCTCTTCCCTGTTGCAACAGTGATTCTTCCTTGGGAACAACATCCGGAGTATTCTTTAACTGATATACAGAAACTTTAAGTTTATCCTGTGACTGAGGTCCCAGAGCTGGGCCTTCATTCTTTGGCTGATAAGCAGACAGCTGATCTTGTGGTGCTAGGTCCCCGAGCTTTACGTGTGACTTAACTCCTGCGAGTACAGGTTGTGACTGATCTGGGAGTGGGGGCTGACCAGCAGGTGGGAGTTTCTCTTGAAGCTTGCCTACATCATGGTCCATAGCTTGTTCATTGTCATGGCTCACTAAAGCTGCTGGTCGAACTTTGTTTGCTGAATTTTCGGGATTAATTGCAATATTTACGAGAGAACCAGCATCTGGCATGTGATTGCCACTAATGGGATAATTTGGAAGGGATATTTTAATATCCTTTGCTTCTTTTACCTTATAGTTAAAACTTTGCTGAGGAATTACCTTACCTGGTAGTTGGGCTTGATTTTCCTGTGCTGGTGGAGCAATTATTTTGTTCAACTCTCCTGCAGGAACATTCTTTGAAAATACAGCTGGCTCCAAAACGTCTTTTGGTACATTATTCCCAGCCCTAAGCACAGACGGACCCAAATTCTCTTTGACCTGGGCCACAGCTCCGGGATTACCAGCAGCAGGGTTGGCAACTTCGGGGTTCAGAGGCGCCACAACAATATTTCCAGAACCAGATTTCTTGTCAGAATTTATAACTGCCGATTCACCAAGATTTTCACCTTCAGGATGTACAGCTGCAAGATTAACATTGGAGATTTCGGCAGCAGGTTTCACATCTGCCGCAACTCTACCACTGTCATCTTGAATTTTCACTTCTGGCTTTTGCATTGCTTTTTGGTCTTTGAGTTCTTGAAGAATTTGCTTCTGTTCCGCTATGATTTTCTTCTGTTCTTTGAATTGCACCTCAATTATTTCCAGTAACTCAGCCTGTTTCTTTTCCACTTCCTTAATTTCATTTCCTTCTTCTTTATTGACTTTCTCTTCCTTTTTAATAGCATCTGGGTGCAGAGTATCTCCTCCATTTTTCTCATCTCTTACATTCTCTAACTTTTGCTGATCACCAATCACTTCTTTTACCTCCATTTTATTTAAGTTAGCAACATTTTCTTTCTCATCTTTAGTTTCCTTCAAGTCTGCTGTTTTGTCTTGAGCTTTCAAAACCTGATTGGCATCATCTGGCTCATCCTTCCTTTCAATCCCTTCAGGTGGAGGTTCGGGGGCAACGGGTTCTCTCCTTGTAGCCGAGTCACCAATACGAGCCTCTGCTCCAACTTTCCCCTCATCAGCTACGTTTCCTGTTTGTGCCGGAATGATAAACAACAATGTTTAGTTTAAGAAGAACATTATTACTGTATATGATAGCATTCATGAAAAACGGCAAAGAAATGTTTATATATTTCATACCCCAGAGCAACATTAATGGAAGACGAACATGTATGGCAGACTGAATCTTCAAACACACACATCCATGCATGAAACACACAAGCATAAAGATAAGCTGCAGTATTATTAAAAAGTGCCAACTAAAATAAACTAAGTAAGAGACAATAACAGGTAATGATCAATATACTGTATACACAATCAGTAACACAATCAGTCTCATCATTAATCCGAAATGAAAAAACAAAATAAATGTACAGTAGATGGTTTATCAGTTTCTTTACATCTGGCAAGGTCTCATCTTCAATGCATCACTAAATAACAAACTCCTTACACTCCTCTATACCAGCAGTGCTTCGTGCAAATACAGTATCCACTCAATTTAACGGCCTCTTTTATACCGATCTGCCGGTATTAACGACCGGTTTGGGAGACCGGTATCTGGAGCCTGCTATACCGGTCTGCGGTCGATATTACCGACGGTCTGTCGGTATTGGGTTTGTTGTGGCATCAGCGTCCCCTCACATGGCGACCAGGCCACCGACCTGGATCGTCCAGAGTCATATATTACATCTTAATTTTCTTTTAAAAATGATTCACTTTAATGAAGAAAATTTTTAATTATTATTAATAAAATATTTTGAAACAGTTTTTATTAAGCAAAAGTCTTTGTTTTCTTATTAAATACCTTTTATAGTATAGGCACTAGGATATAACTGCACTGTAATTGTGATCTTCTTTTTAATTTACAAAAATGCCAAAAGTTACCCAAAGGAAGCGCCTGACGGTTGCACAGAAGCTGGAGTTAATTAAGAAACTTGATAAAGGATATTCTCATGCACGACCAGCAGTAGAGTTTAACATCGGGAAAAGTACAGTAAGTGACATCAAGAAACAGAAGGATACTCTATTAAAATATGCCTGAAAATAAGTGTACATACAGTATGTACCCTGTATACAATATAAACAATATAAAACAAGCGCTGCAGAGGATGACGTAATCTTCACAGCTTCGTAATCTTCAGCTTCATTAAAAGTAAGTCAATTTACCAATTTTATTATAGTATTACAAGATATTAATTGTTTTTTTTCAACAAAAGCTACATATTAGTCTCTGCAAATGTATATTCTATCGTCAGCAGAGAATAGGCGAGCTCAAAATATTTCGTCTTGGCTAGCTCTCAGTGACAAGGCTCGACCGCCATTGTTATGGCATGGCCGCCACAGCCTGTGTTGTAACATTAAAAGTAAGTCAATTTACCAATTTTATTATAGTATTACAAGATATTAATTGTTTTTTTTCAACAAAAGCTACATATTAGTCTCTGCAAATGTATATTCTATCGTCAGCAGAGAATAGGTGAGCTCAAAATATTTCGTCTTGGCTAGCTCTCGGTGACAAGGCTCGATCGCCATTGTTATGGCATGGCCGCCACAGCCTGTGTTGTAACATTAAAAATACATTACCTGCACTGTTCAGGGTAAATCAAAACACATCTCTAAAATATTATTGAGAAAATATTAACTTGCTGATTGATACATGAAATATTTTGCAATACAAAGGAATGAATCAATTTTTTCCCACCCATCTGGGCTTGATCAGACCGTGTTCACACATCATCCATGCAGCAGCCAACAACTGGCTTAATCGTCGGTGTGGCACTAAATTGGAATGCAATTACACAATGAACTTTATTTAATTTTAGTTATACAGTATAAAATATATCCTACCTGAATGTTACTTGAAAAATTACCCGACCCGACTTAACTTCGGAAATAACGGAGCTCCGTAAATATCGACTAGGGCTCAGCCCCATATAGGCTGTTAAATTGAGTGGATACTGTATTGCTCTGCACCAGCAGCACTTTATATAAACATTACCCATACCAGTGAACATTCTTGGAAAACTACAGTTGGCCCTAATTTAGACCCATGGTGGAAAAAAGAAGCAATCACAGCCATCATTGGAAGAACTCATGTGATAAGAAAAGTGAAATTTCCCTTCATGAGCAGCCCTTGGGGCCCCCCTCCTAAGTCAGGGCAAGAGTATAACTCAGGACACTGCTCATTCACCACGCCTAAGTCGACTTTAAGCCTCACCGAGATGTGTAACTTATTAAATGATCTTGCCAAGCAGTTTAGGGGTAGGGAAGCCAGTGGTGAGCAGAACTTGATTACTCCATCAAGAGATATTGCTCCTTATGACACCAGAGAAAACAAAAACTTTCTGCGTCTCCTACAAGAAATATCTGACAACACAAGGATAGTCAATTACAGTGGCTCCTTGATTAACAAGTTTAATCTGTTCCAGCACCGAGCTCGTCAAGTGGAGAACTCGTCTTGTGAAACAACAACAAAACTGTCGTCAAAGGCTTCCGAGAACCAGCGTTAACACTCGTTAACCACTTAACTGCGCCAGCAGAGTATTCTTGGTCGGCGGGAAACTGCGCCAACTGAGAAAACTCTGATTTTTCCGTACCCATTCTAAATGTGTGCGAGGTTGGTTGTGTACGAAATAGACTCTTAGGACCTCCAGTGAGAGGCAGCCATCTTGGAAAAAATCCCCAGAATGCCCTAGGGTTGCTGGCTGAGCTAGTACTGAATGAGCAACCATGGGTGGCGCACGCGCCTCTGGCTCCCAAACACCTGTCTGACGCGGTATTGAAAGATAACACTCTGTCAGTGAAATTCAAACCTTATTGTTTGAAGAACACAAGGGTCATAATATTGGTGAAGCTAGGCGCAATAAGGACCTAACCCAATTGTCGGATGCAAATGATACAGCACCTATGAGGACGATACAGCGAGCGTATCGAGTTGTAGCTCTGAGCGTCACCCTTGCAATCCTATGCCATCTCCAATTTCTTTAGATGATAAATAGATGAATTAGTTTTCTGCGTTCAGTGATGATGCATCTGATATAAGTAGCATAGATGAACAGTGTTAGCAGCTTCCATGTGATGTTTTCCATAGATATTTTCAAGAATACCTGAATCTCTTCCTGACTGACAGACACTCTTTGAGGCAAGCTGAATCTCTTCCTGTGTGGGACCATACAAAGTGATCTTTTCAAGGCAACCTTACAATTTGATCTTTTCCTATAATCTTTTCAATACTACCTTATGCTTTACAAGCTTGACTACATACAACCTACAAGTACTAAAGCCAAGGGTGTACATGAGTGCGTTATTTGAAAGCACATAATAAAGCAATTTTTTTTGCATAGAGTGTGGGGAGGGGAAGCACACGTGAGCACGAGCTCTGTGAAAAAGAATATATATCTCGGGATATTTCAGTGATACAGGAACTAAACACAGTCAGATATCTCATAAAGCACGTCTCAACTTATTAAACAATATACCATAATGATTGACATCCGGCTTTTGTGCTTTAAGGAAATAAGCGAATTTTGTGTGGAGTCCACCTCGTGGTGCCAGAACCCACCCCATAGACCCACGTCCCGTGTGCCCACCGTGTGTGTGTGTGTGTGTGTGTGTGCTTACTAGCAAATTGGTTTCCAACAAGTGTAATAGGGGAATGTGGATCAAGAAATTAGTAACAGAGAAGTGAATACTATTGCAAGTCGGAAATAAAGCAGAAAATCCCTTATTGTACTACAGGCAAATTAATATATCAGTGTTATAACCCAAGTAACTGGCAACTGAGGGCCTCCAGCCGTGGCCTGGGACAACAACGTGTCAACTGTACAGCCTCTGGGACCATCACCCTCGACCGTGCGATAAGTACTGACCATACAGTAGAACAAATAAACATATATATTGTTACAAATATACGTTATACATATAATATTATAAATATATAGATATATACAACAAAACAAGGCAAAATGGGAGTAAATAAACAAATTTGTGGCCACTGTAACAACTCAAAGTCGAAGGCAACGGGAATTGAATGTTATATCTGTAAGAATAGATTTCATTCGGCTTGTACAGGAGTGAGTAACACCACGGCACTGAGAGCTGGCCACTTGCTCTGGGTATGTAAAAATGACCTGCCAGCTTGGAATATCCTAAAAAACCTTCTAGATAACATGACGCATGAATGGAAAACATCGTTCATTGGAAGTCTACCAGCCATCCAGAAGGAGTGGGAAAGGAACAACAATAATTCTAATATACCAGGGGCGGAGGCTATAGTCAGGGATGAAACTGAGGCTGAAACTCGGGAAGTTGTAAACTCTGACTCAGTAGGCCCGGATGTAGATGACAGTAAGCTAGAAAGTGTAACAGACAGCACTGACAGCTCGATAGGTACAGACACTACGACGGTTCCCGATAGAGCAATTCAGAACAGAAGGACAGACTAATGCAAATTTTATGCAAAGGGCATATGCAGACATAGATATGCTGGTAATAAGAAAGGATTAGAGTGCAGTTACCAACATCCCAAAATTTTTTTAAATATGCTTAGGAAAGGCGAGTGTCGATTTGGATCAATATGTAGGTTTTTCCATCCTGACATGTGCCAAACCTCACTGGAGGACAGAAAAAAAGCAACAGGAAGTGAAAATTTATCTGTACTTGGGGGCATTAGGTTGGTTTTGGAAAAGTTGTTCAATGTCAACCAATATTTTTTGACTAGTTGTATATGAAAAGGGCTGCAATTGTCCCAAGTTTCAGTATTGTAGCGTAAATAGAAAGGGAGATTTTTGGTTTTTTTCAACGACTTTTACACATTTTCAAGTCTGAATAAATAAATACACGTTTCAAATATAATTATTCTATGACACTTTTCTGACACATTAGCATATAATAAAGGATATGTTGATAGATAATTTCCAAAACATCTTTAGTTTTCCTAATACAAATTTTCAAAGTTCCCCCAAAAATTATGCAAATATGTCATGTTTATTGCTATTATAAAATCAATAAATGAACTTAGAGAAAAAAGCTA